CCGCGACGATGGGAGGCGCCACCGGCGGTGCCAATCACCGCCACACCTCGCGGAGCCATTCGGACTCAACCGTGACAATGAGAGGCGTGCACCGGCAGTGCCAGTCGCCGCCACGCTAGCGGAGCCGTTCAGACTCGCTCGTGTCGATGGGAGGCGCGCACCGGCAATGCAAGTCGCCGCCACACCTTGTGGAGCTATTCAGACTCGCGCGCGATGATGGGAGGTGCGCACCGGCAGTGCTAGTCGCTGACACACCTCGCAGAGCCGTTCGGACTCGCCCGCGACGATGGGAGGTGCACACCAACAATCGTCGCTCCATTGTTGCACCCTACGCCCAACTCCTCAACCACTTCCGTCGTTGAGCGGACGGTGTCGAGCCAAGAGTTGGTGAGGCCGTGGGGCAAATCCACCAGCGCAGCGCGCCGGCGACGGGGCAGCTCATCGCGGACCCTCGGTGCCGCCACATCGCAGCTTCCCAAGACAGCCGAGCACGTGCGCCTTGGCCAGCAGCTCCATTGCACGCGGGGAAGGACTGGTTGCGGGCGCGCCGCCTGGCCGACCGCTATCGAGCCTGACCTGCCTGCCATAGATCGAGCATAGGAGAGGTCAGATACGGCTCAGGGGGCCGGGATCCGCCTCCTCGTGCGCCCGCCATGGCCGCTGGAGAAAAAATGGTGTGGAGGAGGGAAGAGGAGGTGGGATTTGGGGGGGGTGGGGGGGTGTGGTGCTTGCCAGTCGCCACCGGACATTGAGGAAGCAGAGCTGCGCCTCGACGAGCACTTGGGCGGCTACGCAGAGGAACCCGAGCCGCCGCACCTACACCTGGAAGAGGACCTGAGCATGTCAATTTGCTTCAAGGAGAGTCGGATCCGGTCGAAGCGGAGTTGGATCTGCCACCTAATGCTGTCGAGAGCCACCGTTTCCGCCGTGGAAGTCGCGGCGACGCCCCACACGGAGCAGCTCGCGACACCTCGGCGAGTGCCTCGCCGCTGCCGTCCTAGGGGGCTGCGTGGGCTTCTCGGGAGCACCCTCTGGCAGAGGCGAGGGGAAGAGAGGGGACGGTGGTTGGCGGCAGCAGCTAGGGTTGCTGCCGCCCGTGCAGAGGGCGACGTGAGCACTTATTGCATGTTCGCGGATAACTCATCTTGCATCCCTAGGTACTATTCCCGTTTCTGTTAGTCTTATCACTGATGGGAATCCCTAAGTACTTCATTTAGTGGTATTCTCGTTTTACAATTGAGCAAGTGTTGGCTATTTTGATTTGTTATAAGAATCGGCTAGCCCATAGATCAGAGCCTCACATTTATGAACGATTTATATATTGCACTTCACGTCATTGCAGTAACATATATTGCAAACCATCAGCTCACTGATCAGAACACCATGATTATATTTATTCAACACCATTACATCAACAATTATTTTCCCTCCATTAATGATAGACCGTTAGAAAGATTATTGACGGCCTTGCATCAATGCTGTTCGAGGCTGTGGCTATGGTGGGCAATGAGGGGCGCATGCGGGGCACTCAGCCTGACAATCAGCCCTTGTCCAGTAGCAAACATCATTCCCATCGTGCAAACAGCAATAGCAGTCACGGTTCCCATCACATGTATAGTTAGCACAGAATGTAATAGTGAACTTGGTCTCAGGAGGTACCGATGTGTTCCTGACCAAAAAACCTTTTAATTTCTTGTTGGTACGACTATTTTGGTAGGTTTGTTTATCTCCAGTCTTAGAGAGCGCCGGACTACCTATTGGAGATTTTTTTTCATCAGTACATCAGGAGACAATACACACACACATACAAGTTAACCAAAAGACAAGATGTTGATGTAAACTTACAAGGGAAAGGAAGGCACACAAAAAGAACGAAGGACAAGATTGCCATCACATACAAAAGGTTGGCACAACAGCTCTTCATGTTGTATCTCTTTGTATTTTTCAATCAGACTTAACCTTATGTTTGGAGGGTTACACAGTTGAACTTTATAGCAAAATAATGTAGTCTAAATAAGTGCCATGGTTAAGAAGACCTCTGATATATTGAAAGAGGTAAATTCTCGCCTATTAATGTATAATAGATATATCATATATATAGTTGTATTTCACACTTTGTGAAGTTGGCAGTTATTAAAGTATCCTTTGCTCTCTGATAGCAATGATCGCTAGCCTCAAATAGATTGTATAATTCTATATTTCAGTTTAAGAAACTGCAAAATTGGTAGTCATTAACCTTTGCCAAATTTATGTGCTGGAATTGAGGATCCATTAGGTCTACTACTTTTAGTTATTGGTACATACAACATGGTAGCAATCAATTTTGGATGACTTCTCACATCTTCTACTATTTTTATTTTTCAGAGATTTTACAATGCTTGAAAGTAATAATAGCCATTCATTAGTCTAGATCGATCGAATGGCCAAAAATAGAGAGGTACCTATTAGGAGGAGAACCTAAGTTGTGGACCAGAACCTTAAATTTGTGTGCCAAGAACTACATCCAAAATTAGGTAGAGGGGTAAATATGTACTTTCATCTACACGTTTAGTTATTCTAAGAGAGTAATTAGCGCATCTGTAACTCTTCCATCCCAACACTGTCGCCATCATGTCGCACAGCCGCGACCTCTCGCCGGTACCTACACCGAGACCGGCGCCACCTCCTGCACTCGCTGCTAGTGCTGCCACGGCCACCACATCTCTCTAACTGCTCACTTCACTACTTTTTTGTTTTTCTAGATACATGCTTCTGATACGTATCTAGATATACATTATATGTGAGTACAAATCAAAGTACACATATATAGAAACACCAAAACGCTTTATCATTTAGAATAGAGGAAATAGTTCTCAATGCTATCTGTAACTTTGTAGGTGACGATTTTAAGGTCTGAAGTCGTTTAAAGTCCTAAATATCCAATTTATGTTGTTAGATTTTCAAACTCAAAATTTAGAATTTTCAAGCTGACTTTGGAATTTCGATGTTGACAACTTGACATATGTTATTATACATCAAACTTCTAGTTAAAGTGAACTACAGATTTCTACTACCTGACAAGTTTTTCATTTGAAATTTGAGCCCTAACTTTTAGTTTTGAAAATCTCAGATCTTGAGTTTCAAAATTTTAAAAAGCTTGGGTGGAGATACACCCTATACCAAAGTTATTTAGTGTTCGGCAATATCTATAATTTTGCAGTTATTTTTTTCATTTGAGAGGTTATAGGCGTCTATAAGACCGTGAAGGAGGCCCGCCGATAGCCGATATCAATTAGTGCAACGATTCCATCTGCCTGGAAAGGCAACAGCAACAGCAACCACTATCCAAGACCCCTCCCCACCTGCAAAGGCAAATATATATGGATTTTCGAGCTAGCTCTAGTATCTTATTAAATTAATAAAATGTGCATTGTATTTTCCAGCTAGCTCTACTATCTTGTTCAACGAGCATTATTGAAATACACGTTGTGCATATGACTAATCAAGATGAAGGCAAACAATTTCCCTGTAATTTTCTAGGAGATATATATGACATATGTATGTTGTCTATTGTGCTATTTTGTAAGCATACACACCACAAGGAATATATGCGCACAACACAAGGTATATATGCAAGTGATATCGATAGCTTCGAAAAAAGTCATATTGGTTTGCGTTTTTGGATCAGGAACTATTTTTATTCATCTGTGCCATGCATTGGCTATATAGCTGGTCAACACTACACATGTATGCCTTGGAATTCCACGTATCCTTGGAATTTCATTAGCAGGAAGTCTGGCATCGGTCGCCTGAAGAAAGTTTGGCAGCCTGAGATTGCAAAATTCAATACAGATTAAAATTTGTTTCATTTGAATTATTATGTGCAAAATACATTTTGAAAATATTTTAAACCCGAGTCATATGATGCCATATAGTTAGTCACCCATTCATGCATGCATGGCGTGTTTGTACGTGGCTATGACGAACCTTCTGTACCTAAACAAGTTTTCCACATATCAAGGTGTGTATTTTCAATAATGAGAGTCTCTGTTTCTCATGTTCTGGATTGTTGACTTGGACTTCAAGTGCTTTACTGGTCCAGGCTTACACAAGTCTTCAAATATTTACCTGGTAAATTGCACTATTTGCTTGGCTGAAGGAAGAACATGTCTATAGCAGGGTACTTTTCGAAAAAAAATTATCCTAGTCAGCGCCTCCCGAAGGTGTATGGACCTGTGGTGCACCACTTAACAAGTTCAGGGGTCGGATTTCGATATTGAGAGTTCATGAATCTAAGTGGCACCATGCTAAAAGTTTAAGGGCCCCCAGTGTATTTAACTCGTAAAACAATAATTACGAAAGAATAGGGAAATCCTTGTCAATTTTTAGAGACAGGGGAGGAAAGCAGGAAACAATAGATAGAAAACTGATTCCAAAAGGAATCAGGAAAACGGCCACTTAGCAGAAAATATATGAAAATAAACAAAATCTTCTAAGCCTCAAACATTCAGATCTTCAGGGTATGAAAAAAGAAGTTGCTGCATTCTACGGAGTAACAAAGTTTTGCATTACCTGTTGGATTATATTGCAACACCTATATATTTTTTTAGACCAGAGGCATAAGCCCTGCTTTTACTGAAACTATAGAGAGTGGCTGCTGGGAAAACAGCCTAGCACATCTTAAACTCTCCTCTCTTAAACGATGAACCACAAACGCTAAACTCTCCTCTCTTAAACTGCACCGCCCCAGCTCCCAAAAGGAAACCAGCCACGAATAGTGCTCCTTAGAAAAGAGAAATTACAATTGAGGCCTTTCTGAGTTAAACACCTAACTATATATGCGACCAAAGAAGTTCCATCTCCATTATCTGAAAACAGAAAACCTCTATTGACTTGTCCACCCTTCGTTCTACCGGAACGCCAATAAATCCACGCCCATGCCCCCCAGCTCTACTCATACGCTTCATCGCTCTCACCCACCAGGAGAAAATTGCAGCAGCACATAATTGACAACTACATCCATGGCGTCCACTTCCATGTCCTCGGTTCTCTTCCTCCTCGTCGCAACCTTCGCCGCCAGTGCCAGCGCGGCCACCTTCACCGTCAAAAACAACTGCAGTTCCACGGTGTGGCCGGCAGCCATCCCGGTCGGCGGAGGCACGCAGCTAGAGCCAGGACAGACGTGGACCGTCGATGTTCTCGCCGGCACCACCGGCAGGTTCTGGGGCCGCACCGGCTGTTCCTTCGTGGGAGGAAGCGGCCACTGCAACACCGGCGACTGCGCTGGCGCCCTCAACTGCACCGTGTCCGGGCAGCCACCCACGACGCTGGCCGAGTTCAGCATCGGCGGTACCGAGGATTTCTACGACATCTCCGTGATTGACGGCTACAACCTGCCCATGGCCTTCTCCTGCAGCACCGGCGCTGGCCTGGTGTGCACGAGCCCCACCTGCCCGGAGGCGTACCGGTTTCCGACGACGATTCCAAGACCCTGGGTGCAGCGGCAACAGCAACTACCAGCTCACCTTCTGTCCATGATGAGGATTGAGGCGGCGGGCGGATGGTGGTCACGTCCAAGGATATTCATGTGGAGTATCTGAGGAACACGAAGGTTCAACCTTGTTATTATTTCTACCCACCATCTTCGTAGGAGTGGAAAAGAAAATATAATAAGTGGATACATAGAAACTTTCTAAATAAATTTGAAAACGTATTTAGGGAATAAAGTTGTGTATTTTTTAATAAAAAGTGTGCCATGATGAGTTATATAGAAAAAAGTTAGTAAGAACATTTATGGTGCAACAAACGTGGACACCTGCCCCGGATTCACAACACATGTACATATCCATGTATCTCACAAAGTAGGCTACTGTTTAAATTTAGGAGGAATAGTTTTTTTTTTTTGCCTGAATAATTTTCCACCGATGCCAGCGAAGCCGGGAATGGAGGGTGCAGAGTACCTAGTACACGGGACGACCCTTGAACGTCACAGAAGTACATGATAAGATGGAAAAAGGAGAGGGATTACAACACTTGATAGAAACAAGAACACAACAACATGGTTCAGCTGAGAAAATTGGCTATTTGCCATTGCAAAGAATGGGCTTCGCAAAATTACCATCCAAAAGATTGACTTCGCAAAATTGTCAGCCTAAACATGTATACTTTGTTTTTGTTGCCATAATCCCTATTTAGCTTCTTTGTTTCTTTTTTTGGTTGTCCTCCACGCGAAAAGACATTACTGCCCTTGGCTGCTGGGAGACGTCGGCCGGATCACTGTTCGCACCTTGGCTGCGTCAGACGTCAGGCAGTTGTTCATATCCCAATCAAATGGCCTGCATGCTACTGTAGGAGCTACTGTGCATGCATTTGGTCAGTTTTTGAAAAAAAAAACAATCAGGTGGGCAATATAATTAGAATACATGCACGCATATGTCTGTCACACAAATTCATAAATGGGGAGTAAAATGAGCTCATATCCGAATCCATATGCTGAGTATAAACGAGTTCATCTCACACATCCATAAATTGAGCCTAAATGAGTTCATCTCACAAATCTATAATTTAAGCCTAAACGAGTTCATCCAATATGCGGCGAGATTGCTCCAAGTTCCTCTGTGGTCATGCCGATGGCTGCCGTGGTCGCGGTGAGTGTGGGTGTCCCGTGGCAGCGCTGAGCAAGGTGGCGTGGTGGCGGCGAGCGCGTAGGCCAGCGGTGCCACACGCCCTGCATCACGCGTCTAGGGTTCGTGCATCAGTTTCTTCTTTCGAGGTGCTTCCTGCATACACGTATTCGCAAATTATTAATCATAAATAGTCCCTCCTCACGTCAATTAGGCAGAAGGGCAGTAATGTCTTTTTATGTGGAAGGGATTCCAAAAAATACAAGCAAAGGAGGGGATTGTGGCAACAAAATCAAGGTACACATGTTTAGGCAGACAATTTGGCAAAGTCATTCTTTCGGATGGCAATTTTGCAAAGCCCCTTCTTGGCTATTTTGATTTGTTATAAGAATCGGCTAGCCCATAGATCAGAGTCTCACATTTATGAACGATTTATATATTGCACTTCACGTCATTGCAGTTACATATATTACAAACCATCAGCCCACTGATCAGAACACCATGATTATATTTATTCAACACCATTACATCAACAATTATTTTCCCTCCATTAATGATAGACCGTTAGAAAGATTATGGACGGCCTTGCATCAATGCTGTTCGAGGCTGTGGCAATGGTGGGCAATGAGGGGCGCATGCGGGGCACTCAGCCTGACAATCAGCCCTTGTCCAGTAGCAAACATCATTCCCATCGTGCAAACAGCAATAGCAGTCACGGTTCCCATCACATGTATAGTTAGCACAGAATGTAATAGTGAACTTGGTCTCAGGAGGTACCGATGTGTTCCTGACCAAAAAACCTTTTAATTTCTTGTTGGTAGGACTATTTTGGTAGGTTTGGTTATCTCCGGTCTTAGAGAGCGCCGGACTACCTATTGGAGACTTTTTTTCATCAGTACATCAGGAGACAATACACACACACATACAAGTTAACCAAAAGACAAGATGTTGATGTAAACTTACAAGGGAAAGGAAGGCACACAAAAAGAACGAAGGACAAGATTGCCATCACATACAAAAGGTTGGCACAACAGCTCTTCATGTTGTATCTCTTTGTATTTTTCAATCAGACTTAACCTTATGTTTGGAGGGTTACACAGTTGAACTTTACAGCAAAATAATGTAGTCTAAATAAGTGCCATGGTTAAGAAGACCTCTGATATATTGAAAGAGGTAAATTCTCGCCTACTAATGTATAATAGATATATCATATATATAGTTGTATTTCACACTTTGTGAAGTTGGCAGTTATTAAAGTATCCTTTGCTCTCTGATAGCAATGATCGCTAGCCTCAAATAGATTGTATAATTCTATATTTCAGTTTAAGGAACTGCAAAATTGGTAGTCATTAACCTATGCCAAATTTATGTTCTGGCATTGAGGATCCATTAGGTCTACTACTTTTAGTTATTGGTACATACAACATGGTAGCAATCAATTTTGGATGACTTCTCACATCTTCTACTATTTTTATTTTTAAGAGATTTTACAATGCTTGAAAGTAATAATAGCCACTCATTAGTCTAGATCGATTGAATGGCCAAAAATAGAGAGGTACCTATTAGGAGGAGAACCTAAGTTGTGGACCAGAACCTTAAATTTGTGTGCCAAGAACTACATCCAAAATTAGGTAGAGGGGTAAATATGTACTTTCATCTACACGTTTAGTTATTCTAAGAGAGTAATTAGCGCATCTGTAACTCTTCCATCCCAACACTGTCGCCATCATGTCGCACGGCCGCGACCTCTCGCCGGTACCTACACCGAGACCGGCGCCCACCTCCTGCACTCGCTGCTAGTGCTGCCACGGCCACCACATCTCTCTAACTGCTCACCTCACTACTTTTTTGTTTTTCTAGATACATGCTTCTGATACGTATCTAGATATACATTATATGTGAGTACAAATCAAAGTACACATATATAGAAACACCAAAACGCTTTATCATTTAGAATAGAGGAAATAGTTCTCAATGCTATCTGTAACTTTGTAGGTGACAATTTTAAGGTCTGAAGTCGTTTAAAGTCCTAAATATCCAATTTATGTTGTTAGATTTTGAAACTCAAAATTTAGAATTTTCAAGCTGACTTTGGAATTTCGATGTTGACAACTTGACATATGTTATTATACATCAAACTTCTAGTTAAAGTGAACTACAAATTTCTACTACCTGACAAGTTTTTCATTTGAAATTTGAGCCCTAACTTTTAGTTTTGAAAATCTCAGATCTTGAGTTTCAAAATGTTAAAAAAGCTTCGGTGGAGATACACCCTATACCAAAGTTATTTAGTGTTCGGCAATATCTATAATTTTGCAGTTATTTTTTCATTTGAGAGGTTCTAGGCGTCTTTAAGACCATGAAGGAGGCCCTCCGATAGCCGATATCAATTAGTTTCTGGGTTTACAAAAGTTAATTCGAGTTGGATATTCTCTACCTAATATTAAAGAGCGATGCGTTTGTTCCTATCCACTTTTTCCTTCCAGAATTATCCTTACCTTCGTACCTCAATTTCCCGTGTTCACTCGCCGTTACCTTCGTATTGCTCCATAACTCTTTTTTTTTTGTTTTTCTGTTTAAATTAATGTTTGTGTTCTTTGTTTTTCCCATGTTTAAGAAAATGTGGAAATAGCTAGGAAGATTTTTTTTCGGACGGGAGCTAGGAAGATGCATAATAAAAATCTACTCCGTATCTGTTTTTTGTTCAGTCTTTTTGTTCTTGGTTCCGTTCTCTTTTTTTTAACCTTTTTCTTAGTCATTTGTTTTCGTTTCTTTTTTAATAAGGTCGTTTTTTCCATTCCAGTCTTTTGTTCAGACCTTTTGTCGTCAGGACTACCTTGCCGCCAGTTCTGTTACACTTTTTTTTTATTTGACTTTTTTTTGGTGCGTTTCTGTTTTGCTTCAGATGTGGAACCCTGCTCGGCCTCTCATATACATGTACACTATTTCAAGATTATGAATGCTACACAGAATAATAGCCAAAGCATTGCACAAAGTTTAAAAGGTAGATAGGTTGATATTATCAATATCAATCAATGAGGTATGGATCATATTCTCAAAATTGGTTCAAACTAGATTATTTGCTAAAGATATTTAACTCGGTTTGATCCAAGGACAAGCTTCTTCACACCTCCAAATAAGGGTTATCTTGTACCATGTTGAGTTAAACACTTAGAGCATATTTTCTAGATCAAACACTAGGTTTACAAGCCCACAAACATGTCATATGCTATCACTAGATCAAGTCAAGCATAAAAGCAATAATGATACCATATAAACATCAAATTCATTTGATTTTCATGAATGAGCCTAATAAAATGGAGAGATGACTAGATGCACTAAACATGTCCTTAGTCAAGGATGTATGTCACGCCAATCAACTTTTACCTTGAATTGCTCGAAGGAGAGGCATGTCATATAAGTGGGGGTGCATCAACACATATTTGAGAAATTCAATATGTTCAACTCATTCCTTAGCTTGCAAAACCTTTTCTCATCCAATGGCTTGGTGAATATATCGGCAAGTTGATCTTCGGTGCCTACACTCTCAATGCAAATATCCCCTTTTTGTTGGTGATCTCTTATGAAATGGTGGCGGACATCAATGTGCTTTGTTCTTGCATGTTGAACCGGATTGTTGGTTAACTTGATTGCACTCTCATTGTCACAAAACAATGGCACTTTCTTGAACTTGATTCCAAAGTCACTCAAGGTGGCCTTCATCCAAAGTATTTGTGCACAACAACTACCGACGGATATGTATTCGGCTTCGGCGGTTGATAATGCAACACTATTTTGCTTCTTTGATGACCATGAAACAAGTTATCTTCCCAACAATTGACATGTGCCCGAGGTGCTCTTCCTTTCAACCTTGCATCCCGCATAATCCGAGTCGGAGTAGCCAACTAGCTCAAACTTTGCTCCTTTGGGATACCACAAACCGACATTTGGTGTATGCTTCAAGTACCTCAATATTC